TCAATTTTTTTGTAAAAGAGCCTCCTGATTTTTAATTTAAATACACCTATTTCGTTTGTTTTTTAATTTGTCAGAAGGTATATGCACTCATCAGAGAGAGAACAAGAGGGAAAGTGAGAACACACCCTCCATGGGGGATGGCCACACTGCAATCCCTTCTTCTCCATGTCTCCTTTTGGGATTTTAGACATGCACACGCACACTCCCAGTGTATTTCTCAAGCTGCAGGGTCTGGGACTCAAATTGTGTGATTGTCCACATGGGATCCAGCTGCCTTAACTTCCAGGCCATAGGCTAGTCCTAAAACATACTTATTTTTAAATATTGACAACTAAATATGTTTAAACATATTCAGAGTCAAATCAAATCAAGCAATACCTTTGCAATCTCTTACCCACTCCTTAGTTTTCTCATGTATTAAAATAAGAACAATAATATTTGTCCTTTCTCTCTCACAGAGTTATTTTGTCAGATTTGTCTAACCTGGTAGTTCTTTATTTTTTAAATTTTGAAATAAGTTAACAACAAAGGTCAAGGCCAGTGGTTAGGTCACTCGGATATTCCTCCAGTGACAGGGTACCCCAGAGGCCAGCAGGATAAGCCACTGTGCCTGGGCTTTCCTGTCCCTCGCCTGTCCTTCAGTCTTCCAGGCAAAAAACAAATGCAGAGTTCTCCACTGGCCAATCAGACTAGCCCATAATCATCTTCTGGAATAATTTAAGCCTGAAATAGTTCAGAGATAAGTAACTGGCAGAAATGAATAGTTCCTGGAGCCAGCAGGCGGTCTAGTGGTTAAGGCGTTAGACTCCCACGTGGTCCACTGCTCTTTGAGTCCCAGACTGGCAGCTTGAAAGCCACGCACAGCCTGTGTGTGTGCATGCCCAAAATCCCAAGAGGAGAATAGAGGAGAAGGGATTGCGGTATGGACATGCCCCTGGGGGATGGTTTCTCCCTTTCCATCTCTCTGTCTCTCCAGCTAGCCCACATGCCCTATTAGCAAAAATCTCTCTTAAAAAAATGAAAAAGAATAGAAAGAAAGAAAGAAATGGTTCCCTGTCACAAAGCAAGTAGGTTTGTGCGGATACCTCCGTGTCACCTTTCTGTGTTTAGATACTGGGCGTTCTCTTCTCTGAGACCACCTGCAGCAGGGACACAGCCAATGACGTAAGACACAGTAGTCCCAGACAGAGAGCACCAAGATATTGGAGTGTGGGTTCTATGTTTGATTGGATGTCTCAAAGGTCTTCGGTTTGCCTTAAGCACAGACTCAAATTTCTCAAATGATCTATGGATTTATGTAACACATTTCTGGGATAACCTTAGAGGTAGTATTATATAATTATCCTGAATGGGCGTTTTATGTGAGTAGAAACATAGTGCTTGAAAGGGAAAAGTGTAATTAGAGGCATACACACACACACACACACACACACACACACACACACACACACACTAAACATTTTCAGGGCTGCTATTACTCAGTTATGCCACAAGAGGTCACCAAGAGTTCTGTTTCCAAACTCCCTCTGTGCCATGCGGAGTCTGACCTCTGATTTCCCCGTTGAGAACTCTTTCCGTTTTGCCTTTCTTCCATCAGGCTTGGTGGTGTAGACATGCCTTTCTGAAGAAAGCTACAAGCCTATTTGAGGGGAACCTCAAATTCCGTGGAAAATGAAATTACAATATAAGTTTATTTTGATACAACAAAAAAATTTAAGTCCATGTGTAATCTTTTCATAATACACATTTTCCACAAACTTTTTGAAGGACCCACATCCTTAACCCAAGGTCAGTTCCCAATTCCCAGTTCCCCAGGTTATGAAGAGCTGGTTAGTCCTTCCAGACGACCTAAAGCAAAGGCTTCTTTGCCTTCTTGTGGCCCGGGCTTGTGTCACCAGCCCTGACAACAGGCATTTATGGACTGTCGGTAGGCCCCAGCCCCTGGAGGTCTTCCATGGGGAGACAGGACCCACAAGTACAAAGAAACAGATTGTCCAGGACAACCTGAGACACGGACCTGTGAGCTGGTGTGGGTCAGCGCTGGAGGGGTTTCCACAATGACTAGTAAAATGACCACAGGAAAGTTAGAGAAAGTGCTCTTGGAGTGGTCAGCCCAGGCTGAAGAAGGTGGGCAAGCTGGACTTTAGCACAAATTTTCCTTTTCTCCTTCCTGCCTTAGCCAGGGACCTCCCTCCTGGGGTAAGCTGAAGCTAGGTTGTGACACAAGATGTAAAGTATTTAACACCCACGCCCCCAGACTGCCTGAGAGAAGTTGCCTTTTATGCACTGCAAAATTAATTTGGCTTTTATTGCTCTGACAAATATTTGTCATCAACTGTGCCCTAAGTACTCAGTGGTAAATAAGGTAGCGCAGTTGGAGCATCCCACTTAGAAATTATAGTCTAGCAGGGACCCAAAGATGATTGCAATGCAATGTGCTAAGTCCCATGGTAAACAGAAGGACAGTGTGCAAACTGAATACAGACCAGGGGCCCCAAACCCAGACTTAGGAAATCAGGGAAGGCTTCCTAAAGGAAGTGCTATTGAATTGAGGTCCTAAATAAAATGAGAGTAGACTGTGTAAGAAGAGAGTAAGTGTGTTCTAAGTAGAGGTAACACAGCCCAGAGGAAAAAACAAACAGAATGATTATTATTACTATTATTATTAATATTTATGTGCGATTTGGGAATCTTGCTGTTTTCTTGCATGTCCTATTTTATCCTAAGCATTCATGCCTTTAACTTGTTTCGTTTTGTTTTGTCTTTTGGTCAGAGGGCACCTGCACTTGCCAGAGAGAGAAAGAGTAAGAGAGCGGGGAGAGAGAAAGCCCCACGCCATGGGGCATGGCCATGCTATAATCTTTCCTCCCCCATCTCTCCATCCTGCTGGGAAGTGGGGCTTGCACTTACACACTGGGTTCAGGATTCAAACCATGCTGTTGGTCATGTGGGAACTGGCTCCCTCAACTAGTAGGCCATGAAGCCAGCCCTCTTTAATTATTTTACAAAACATAAATTTAATAGCCATCTACTAATCCATGGTGAGGATAGTGACTAATGTATTTACCCATTTTCAAAGGGAAACAGCATTTCTGAGGCTCATGGTAATTGCTCTCCCTTCATGCATGTAAAATCACCTGGAATCATTCTTATGACTCCTATTCACATCCACAAAGTCTTCTTTATTTGGATTTCTCTTGAGAATATATTCTGCAGCACAACCTTATATTCAACCGTAGCATTTATGAAAGGTATGGGTTTATTAAATATCAGTTAAATTTTACTTTTTTATGAATTGTGCTGTAATTGTTTTGTGTGAACAAGTAGGCCCTCAGAGGGTCTTTGGATTCTTACTTTGCTGCTCTAATGACCCCCTCTGCATCCTCTATCTTAATTTCCTCTCATGTCTGCATCTTGGCTCCCTGCCTCTCTATGATTCATTGATAATTATCTCCATCTTTTCCCTAGTAAATCATGTTTTTTCCTCTGTGGCTCAGTTTCCTGAAGCTGCAAACATCAACTTCATAAATAATTTTTAAAAAGACCACGCTTTGGGTACACATGTAAGTATGATATAATTGACAAATTGCCTGCCTAGCAAACTGATTTTCTGGGTCAGGCAGGAATGACTTTCACGGAAAAGTCTTGCCAAGAAGTAAGATGATTGATATAGCTGGAACATCCAATCACCTTCTTTTGAACTGTTTCCGATCTAATTTAATATTGGTTCTTGGTCTGCCTCCTTTTAAAACTGGTCTTCTTCAGACTTCCGTACCACTCACTTTTCACTCCTTCCCAACAAGGTTTTGGGTTTGTCTGTGTTTGCTTCGGGGCTGCCATTTTCCATCTCAGCATTAGCTCGTGTTTGCTTACTGAGGTGTGTTTTGGAGAAAAACAGTCTGTGGATTCGCAGGCCTGTGAACATTAACTGATCAGCTCAAGCGGCCATTTCTTCTTCTTTTTTTTTGGTTTATTTGTTTGTTTTAGGTTTTGCCATAGGGTGTGTGCTTGCTAGAGAGAGACAGAGAGAGAGAAGGTGAGAAATCACCCCCAGCGGAGAAAGCCACATCACAATCCCTTCTCCTCCACTTTCCTCTTGGGACTTGGGGCATACATGCACCTGCACTAGGCATGAGTCTCAAGTCACCAGGTCCAGGACTCAAACCACAGTTGGCCATGTGGAAGTCCAGCACCTTAACCACCTGCTGGCTCCTCTAGCTCCCTTTTCAATGAAAGATTTCTTGCATCTTGTGTCTTGTGCATGGCTATGACCTATCCTGAGTTTGAGTTTTTGCAAACCTCCGAGCACTCAAATGGTAACGAAAGTTCTCAAATACATGGATATGTGTTGCACATAAAATAAGCCATTTCTGGGGCCAGCAGTTAGCGTAATGGCTATGTTGCTGGACTCCCATGTAGTCGACCGCGGTTCATGTCCCAGACCCAGTGGCTTAAAACTCACGCCGGGCACGTGTGCACGCATGCCCAAACTCCCGAGAGGAGAATGGAGGAGAAGGGATTGTGGCGTGGCCTTCTTCCCTGCGGGGTGATTTCTCGCTTTCTGTCTCTCTGTCTCTCTCTGTCTGTCTGGCGAGCGCACGCGCCCCATAGCAAAAGCCTCTCAAAAATAAATAAATAAATAAATAAACATATATAAACAAACAAACAAATCATTTCTGTCCTGGATTCCAAGGATCTACACAGTAAAAATGAAAAGGCCCAGCTCTCCCCACAGTTACTGAACATGCCCTAGCCTCGGGCCTTCACAGTTGAATTCCTTGTCCAATCGGGCAATCTTGGCTACTACCTGGCCATGCTTTCTTAATTTCTGCAAAAATAAATTTAACATGTAGCAGCCAAGTCCTAGAAATGCAGATTCTACTTCGCATTTTTGTAGCCCAGCGAAGCTGATATCCATGTCTCCTTATTAACAGGCGCATACCACCTTCGCATAATTCAAATTTCTGCCCAGGCTTATCAACCTATGACAGCCTCAAGAAGGTGGGCCTGAGAGATAACACCTCCAGGCTGAGGCCAGAGACGGACGCTGTCAGTCGTTTTGAGAGGTTCTCTCGTGCTGACTTGGCGAGCCAGTTCATGATCTCAGGATGTATGAAAAAATAATCATTGCACTACTGTTGTCAGGTAAGTGAGTTTTTTAGCTTGATGATAGTATATCGGCTGTGGGGTCATAATTTAAGATATGAACTGCCCCATGGGAGTTCGGTCTTACCTAAATAAATACATGAGCAATATCTCGAATTCCAGTCTGGCAGGTGGAATTTATTGGGATTGAGCTGGCAAGGTAGAGGGAATGGCAGAGGAACGCCCAGACACTGTGGCTGAATCACAGTTTTGTAGTATAGGAAGCTTGATTCAATGTTAAGTCTAGCAGGAATTAAAACAAATGTATCAACTATTCAGAGAAATACCTTCGTGTGAATAAATTTGTTGCTTTGTTTAAGCTATACGAATGTTAAAATGAAAGATCTATTAATGAAGGTGATGGTAGATACATGGTCTTAATTTCCCACTTCTCTTGCCAAAAAGTGGCCAGCCACAGCATGAGCTCTGACATTGTGGGGGGAGTTGCTTCCCTCTCTGTAGGTCTATTATAGAAGTGTGTGCTTTGTTTAAGCTATACGAATGTTAAAATGAAAGATCTATTAATGAAGGTGATGGTAGATACATGGTCTTAATTTCCCACTTCTCTTGCCAAAAAGTGGCCAGCCACAGCATGAGCTCTGACATCGTGGGGGAGTTGCTTCCCTCTCTGTGGGTCTATTACAGAAGTGTGATACAGGAAAAATTGAGAGGCTTAGGTATTATGTGGCTTGGGGAGAAATCTGAATCAATTCATTAAAATAAAGAAATAACATAGGGGTATTATTAAATTATATTAAATTAACATTATTTTGGGCCCCTTTCTGAGAATGGAATGATTAATGTCTTCTCAAATACAGTGTTGATGTGTAAAAAGTGTAAGGGGGTCTGTAAAAATTTATGGAGCATCCATATTATGAAAAAAATCATGCATGGATTTCAAAAATTTTTTTTGCATCAAAATAAACACTACTTTAAGTCTACTTTCTGTGAACTTTATGAAGTCCCCGCTTACTGGTTCCCAGTGGATGGATATGGAGCAGGCAGTTACTCTCCATGTGTTCAGCTCAGCAGACACCACTCTCACTGTAGCGAGAGTACATTGCAGAGCATTTTACAGGATTACAGGGCAGAGATCCAACGTTTTCTAAGATGCCTCACGGAATTAAACAGTGTAATGATTATAGCACAGGCATGAGGAATACACAGAACTGGATTCCAATCTGGCTCCACATCAGAAAGCCTGGGAACACTGAGGCAAATTTCTTACCTTCCTTGTGCTCAACATTTTTATCTAAGAAATGTGAGGTGGGCACCTACCCCCTACTGACAGCATGAGCACCAAGCAAAGTGTGTAATGATAGGCACTTACCATGGAGCCTGGAGTGGAGTACCACAGTGACTACGTACTAGCTATGATAATAACTGACCATCATAAGTAATAAGTATTAGCTATGCTACTAATTATGGGCTAGAGAGCAAACTGGGCTTACCATGGGTGATTTCTGAGAAGTCAGGGAGAAAAAAAAAAATTACAGAAAAACAGGAGACTAGCAAAGCTTCTCTAAGATATTTTGTTAGCAGAAAAGTATGAAAACATTTAGCTTGAAGAAAACAGGGGCCAGCAGGTGACATAATGGTTAAGGAGCTGGACTCCCACATGCCCGATTGCAGTTCAAGTCCCAGACCTCCTGGCTTGAAACTCACATTGGGAACATGTGCATGTGTGCCCAAAATCCTGAGAGGAGAATGGAGGAGAAGGGATTGGAAAATACTCCTAAGGGGGGATTTCTCACTTTCTGTCTGTCTCTCCAGCAAACACACACACAATCTCTCAAAAAGCAAACCAAATAAATGGAAGAAATGTGGAGTTTAAATATATTCAAATATGACAACTTTAAAATTTTATGGAAAATGCATATTATGGAAAAACAATGTCATGAATTTCGAAAAATAAACTTGCATGTTACTTCCATTTTTCTAGTTCATTGTTCTCTAGTTCATAATTAGTAGCATAGCTAATACTTTTTAATTATGAGGGTCAGTTATTGTCATAGCGAGTACATAGCCACTTCACTTTACTTTCTGAAGTCCCCTTTATTTATAGGGCTATTCCGCAGAACAGAGAAAAGTTATTCTTTGTGTTGTCCCAGAGGGCAAACTTGAGGCTAGTCGATCAAAATCAGACACAACACACACTTTTTTGAGAGGGGGGAGGGTGTTGCACAACATTTGGAAAAATCATGTGTGACATAAATGTGCCCCAAATTTGGCAAGTGTTCCTGGAAAGAAGTACTCAACTCATGTCTACAAGTACTCACACAGAGAGTGGATTAAGGGCTTAAATGGTGCTTCGTGAGGAGGTCGCGGAAGCCATGATTCCGAGGGCTACTGTGGCCTTCAAG